GGGCGCTACACACCAGAAGTCCCAATTCGGCTCAAAATTATGGGTTTGGAGTTGTAGGCAATTTTAGCTTCTTCAGCTTCTCTTACAACTATTTCGTAGCATTAGAACCCCCTAAAGCCTTTTTTCTTCCCATACCGATCATGTTTGTCACCACCATTTCCTCATAAAGCCTAGATCTATATCTATTTTTTTTTGTAGCTCGTTTTCTCAAAACGCGGTTTTTCTATATACTTTTTTAAAAAATGACTCCACCACTTTTTAAATCAAATCTTCATGAAATTTTCACAGAATGACAAGAAAATGTAATACTAAAAATACGTTTATTGAATTTTTTCAAAAATATGAAATAGTTTTTTTTTGTTGGTGGTGTCTGGAGTGTGGATTTTCATGGATTTTTTGCAAACTTCAATAGGGCATCAGGAATAAATTCATTAAAAGTTTTCTAATCTGTTTAGGAAAAATTGTAGATCTAATAGTTGTTAATAGGCATGCAAAAAAATATATATTTTCATATAAAATAAGTGCGGTAAGCATTACGTAAGACGTCAATAAAATCCAATATGGCCGCTGTAGCCAAGGAAATGAAACTTTTTATATCAAATTTGATGGCTGATTTTAAAACTCTTTACTATGCTTGTTATATGCGTGAAATTTGGTAAAATGTGCTCCACTAATAATCGAGATGGCCTTCAGGAGTAGCTCATCTCCTCCCAACCCCTTTAACCCTTTAATCATGTTCCCTGTTGTTGCATTTGATGATGTTCTTGACTGTTGTGATATTGGGTTTCGAGGTTGTGTTTGTGATGCTCCCTTCTTGGCAAGGGTGTCTGCTCTCTCGTTAGTCGTTTCCTGCTAGTGCTATGTTGCTGTGGCCAGGTATCCACTATAAAGTCAGGTCGACGGCATAGGTCTGTATGAAGGTGTTGATTGTTTGAGCCACTGAGAGGCAGGCTGTGCTTTCGAAATTCATGTTTTCCAAAGCTTGGAGTACTGATTTTCCTTCTGTGAAGATAACAGTGTCTTTCATTTTGTCTGGATATATAATGAAAATGTTGGTAAGGTGGAGGATTGCTGCTTCAATGGCGATGGCCTCTGCCTCGTAATTTGTACAAGAAGTACCACAAGCATCAAATAGTTCTTCACATGTTTTGTCAGGATGTTATACTCTTACTCCAAAGCCTGCTTTAATACATGTAGTTCCCTTGAAAGCTGACCTATCTGTGAAAATATGAATTGAATCATAGCGTAAAAGTCAATTGTCTTGAGAGCTGTGGTCTTCTGTTCTACAGGGTCACTTTCCTTTTTCACTGCCTCCTTTATGAGGGAAGTTTTGATGTTGGTGTTGGGGAGGGGGGGGGGGGGGGTCTGGTCTTAAGGGTTTCAGCATTTCTCTCTTACATGGAAGGTGGTGTTTTTCTACTAGTTCATGAATTTGTTTCTTTGGTCCTTTCTGTTCAATTATTTTTCCGTTTGGGTGACTTTTGTCTAGTTTTTTGTAGCGCTCACTCATCTCCATAACTGCTGCCTCTCTCCGCAAGCCCAATGGTTTCAGGTTCGTACATGTATGGATTTCGCAAGCTGGAATTGGATTGGATCTCAAAGCTCCGGAAATAAATCGTACAGCTTGGTTCTACATTTTGTCAAGAGACCTCTGAGTTGGTTTGCTGCAGATTGTCTGTAGGGTTAAGTTATATTCCACGGCAGAGCGCACATAACCATCATATTGCTGTTTCAGTGATTCCTTGTCCGCTCCCCATGAAGTGCTAGCCAGCCGTCTAAGAAGGTTAAGTCTCTTGTTGTTGGCCTTAGTCTTCAGGTTCCAGGTATGGTTTTTGCATGAAAACTGCCTGTCCTGCTCGATCCCGAGGTAGGTTGGGTTTTCCACTTTTTTGTAGTATGTTTCCTGCAAGTGAGATGGCGAGATTTTGCTATGCGACTTTGTGGCTTTTTGTATTTTAAAGATGGTGTAGATTGTCCTGTTACAATTCGCTTTTAGTTCCCACTTACAGCAGTAGTTGTTGAATCTATCTAAGTCCTCATTTATAAGTCGTGCACTGGTGCCGTCTCCAACATAAAATATATATGTGCTTGCTGGTAAAAGTAGTAGAGGAATGATTTTATGTAAATGCAAATGACCCCCCCCCCCCA